ATTGTCGAAACACTATGTACTGCTGCCTGGAAAATTTGGCCCTTTGTGGTGAAAGAGGTGATCGGGTCTATGAGTCGACCACCCTTCAAGTCCAAGAGTAAGGCATGATAAGTGAGGAAATCCGCACCAATGATGGCAGATTGCACGTCAGCGATAATGAAGGACCATTTGACTGCCCGTCGTAAACCGAAGTCAAGAGTTAATGTTTTTTGACCGTAAGTATGAATCGTTGTACCATTTGCAGCGTACAGAAGAACGTCATCCTGCTTTAGCCTTGTATTAAAAGATGATTTTGGAACCAATGATATCACCGACCCAGAATCAATAAGAAATCTCATATTCGTTTTTTTATCGTGGAGGTGAAGACGGTGTTCCTGTTTCAGGATGTTGTTATTGCTGTCGCCAACCGCCTGAATTGACGACAGCTTTTTTAGTTTTCCGGCTGAGGTTGCGGTACGAAGGAGCACGGTTGTGTACACATGTTGGCTCTCTCCTTGAATCTGCGGTGATAATAGCATATACGACTGGGAGCTGGTGATGCAGGTCTGGAGCTTGCACGGCTGTAACTGCGGCCTCTTTGATTCCGAAAGTCAGCACGTTCTTTGGTTAGCGAAATGAGCTCCGATAATGAGAGTTTAATCGCCGCCATGTCCTGAGCTAGATTGTTCAAAATTGAAGTTGTAAATCCATTGCTGGGTGAATATGATCGATTATCGGCCCTGCTGGTAGACATTACATAAGAACCTGATTGAGTTTCCAATAGCTCATCTGCGAATCTGGCTTGCTCGTCCAGCGTTGTCGAACGAAGGATTTTTAAAAGTTTTTGAGTGCTTGGGGGAAGCAATGCCAACCAACGCACGCGTAGTACGTCTTCAGTTGCTCGGTCACCCGCCAAGGCTGTCATTTGTCGAAGAAGCTGGCTCGGTTTCTTATCTCCGAGTTGCAATTCTGTTAAAGCTTTATGCAGCTGTCGATCAGCTGAATCGGTGAATCTGTTGATGATTTCAGATTTTAAATGATCGTATTTGTTCGTCCTGGGAGGATTCCTTAAAACATCCGATACCTCTATCATCGTCTCAGCATCTAACGCCGTGATAAGCTGATTATATTTAGCACCGTCCGAAATGATTTTGTTGCATTGAAATTGTGCTTCAATTTGTATAAACCACATGTTAGGATGATTCTTCCAAAAAGGAGGCAGTCTGCAGGTAGCTACAGCGTCGACATTCATAGAAGGTACGTACGAACTCAAAAGTAGTGGTTCGCCTATTAAGCTTTGATTGTGACCTTGTGCTTGCTCTCCCGGGTTTGTGTTTGAGGCAGGAAGAAACGGGCAGTCATCCTCCGGAACAGGATCTGCTTGTTGTTCGCGAGACATAATTATTGTTTCACTCGAATCTGTAAATTTGCGTATAAGTTTAGTTGTTCGAGACAAAAATAAAAAAAGGTATATAAGTTCTTGTTTGCAGTACGAAGCGGCTGGAGTGGGCCAATTGACCGGCACACGATGCACACTATTGCACGAAATTGTTATAGTTTTGTATTGTTTGTAGCACGTGGCACGTCACAGGTCAACACGTATTTTAGAGTTTCTAAGTTCTTTCGGGGTCACCAATTATGGGTTTACAGGGGTCCCATAAAACTGCTTTTAACGATGTACAAACTTTATTGTTGTATCCACAAGAAAAACACGTAATTATTATTGGAATAAACAAGAAAAATCATGAGTTGAGCATTGAGCGGTTCTTTTTTTGGCTCTGGTTGACAGATGACAGTTGACTTCGGATCTTCTTTTTTCTAACATTCAGTACGAACTGTCAACAGCTGTTTTCGGCGACTCACACGCCCTCTCGGGGCTAGCGGCAGAGTCGTTACCGGATCAGGTGGAGCAGGAACCGCCACACATTTTTTTTTTTTTTAAATAATGTACAGAATGGACCATCTATGAACCCAATCTTGGGTAGAAGTTAAGTGAAAATTAAAAAAACAACAATTTTTTAAAATAAAAATGTATAGGTACAATCGTAGTTGCTACATTTTAAATTTATTGTCGGAAAATCCCTTTCCGCGTTAATAAAATCACCGACGACAGTCATAAATGTCTGGAACAGTGCTCGGAAAATCTTTCCAAATCGTGTCGATCCCGTTCTCTTTTTGCAATCTACAAATCCCGTTCCCGGATTCCCGGTTTCTCGATAATAACCAGAAAACGAAGAGATCCTGTAATCCCGCGGTAGTTTTTTTTTCTTCCGCTCGGAATGAACGTTACGTGTCGCGATTCGAAGCGACGGAAAACCGGAAAAATCGCTCCATCATATCCGACGAAGCGCTTTTTTCCGATATTCACCGTTCGAGGTTTTATTTATTTTCAAATTCTCATATCGATTTTGTCACGTACGTTCTGCCACAACTCCTCAATTACTAACCCATTAAAACAGTCGAAATTCCTTTTGTGCGGAGAAAAGTTCTCGTCAGTTTCTAGAAAACCTCGCAGGTTCTAACTAGACCTCTCTAACTCGGCGGAGATACCATCGATATCAGCCCCGCAGCTGGAATTTCTACGATCACGATTTGGTAGCGCGCTAGAGCTCGTCCTCCGAGCGCTCGAACAAAGTTTACTGAACCGAAATTTCCACCGTCAAGGCCTCCGAATAATCGCCCAATCTACTCGCTTCTCTTTTTCTCCTCGAAGGTCCTCCGCAGGTTTTTTTCCGATACCGATCGAGGAGTTCGCGAAAGTCACCCGAACCGAGCGAAATTTATCATAGATTTATAACTTCATAATAAATCGCCCGGTGTTAGAGTATCGATTTGATTAAAATTTCACGGGGTTCTATTAAGGCGAGCACCTCTTTAGGAACGCGATATATTTGTTTACCCACTCGGGCCGGTTGCGAAACAACCAATAAAAGCGCCATAAATCTCATTGAACTTTCGTCCTGTATTGTTATTTTTACGATGCAAAGGCGACACACACACACACGACTCTGCTCTCGTACAGGTAGTGCCCATTAGAGTGACGTAAGAAAGAATGTCGTAATTCAAATCCCACTTCGTTTATTTATAATAGAAACGCGCACCGGAATACAAAAACTGTAACTATTAGCCGGTATCATAAAGGAACAGGAAAAGGTGTGACCGAGGAATTACGGTGAAAAAAAAAATGAACAGGGGCAACAGATCCTAAAACCCTCCATATGAATAAATTATGTGATATTTTTATTTACTGTTTACAACATTTAAATAACGGATTACTGTCAATTTGGTCCTGCTGAACACGATTTATGTATTTGCAACGCGAAGTTGTGTTATTTATGAATTTAGTTTTTTCATCGAACTCTCGCAGTAACCTTGATACATTTTCCAGTGAACTAATTTTTTTCTGTAACCAGTTCAAGGTTCCTATAGTACTTAATTCCATCAATATCGATAAGTCCGGGCAGATGCAACGGGCGAGATGGATATATTTGTTCGGCGAAAGAGTCAATAAACAAACTTTCGAAATTTCCACCGATGCGAGTGTTTTAAATCAAATAATCTCGCGGATTTATGGGTATTTTAAATTTTAAATTTACATAACAGTCGGAGGAGACGCGGACTAGTTTTTGAAATAGAATTTTCGTGTAAATACGCACGGCAAATAGTTAATGAGTATCTTCGTTGAATAAATAACGTTTTGTTTGTATAACATTATCGAAGCGCGTTTCTTGAGATTTCTCGTTAGATAAACGTTTTTTAATAACAGTTATAAGAGAAATGTAGGTGTAATTGAATTGCATAATGTATATAAGAGTTAATTTTTTCTTCTATTATAGTTACTAGAAAATTGTTGGTACAATTCCCCGCCCTTATGAATAAATTTAAAAAACCCTTGTAGCTTATTTAAAAATCATTACGTCGCGTTTGTTCCCATATTAATTATAATTTATAGTTCGATGTAATTTAAAGCGATGGCTTTAAATGTGGCAACGCGTCTTGTATACAAATGCACTTACCCACACATAGGGGCGAGTGTATTATTTATTTATAGGGGTGTATGTTTGTGGGTTTGTTTGAAGGTCCGAAACCACCGCACATGTGGCGACTTTACGCTCCCTTTTACAAGCCCGTTCAAGTGCCTCAGACAAACACCTCTTAAATTTTTTGTGTATTTTGTAGTTTTTTTTTCTTTCGGTTTTCAAGCCGCTCAAGGTGCGGATATCCAGGTGCCTTTTAGAGTTTTTGGAAATCAGATACATGTCAAAAAGGAACCGGAAATTGGTTTGTCGAGGAAATTAATTTATGTTATAATTCACACACAAAGGAAAATGTGTATTTTCTACTAAAATCTATACTTTTTTGAAGAATTTTTGTTTCTACTTATGCATAAAAATTCTCTCTACTTTTGTAAATATAATTTTCTCCCTACCTTTACGAACAAAATATTCTCTCTACTTTTACGAACAAAATATTCTCCCTACTTTTATGAACAAAAGTTTCTCTCTACTTTTATAAACAAAATTTTCTCGATACCTTTACGAACAAAATTTTCTCTCTACCTTTACGAACAAAATTTTTCTCCCTACCTTTACAGAACAAAATTTTCTCTCTACTTTTATAAACAAATTTTTCTCCCTACTTTAATAAACAAAATTTTCTCTCTACCTTTACAAAACAAAATTTTCTCTCTACCTTTACGAACAAAATTTCCTCTCTACCTTTACGAACAAAATTTTCTCCCTACCTTTACGAACAAAATTTTCTCTCTACTTTTATAAACAAAAATTTCTCTCTACTTATACGAACAAAATTTTCTCACTACTTTTATGCACAATTTTCTTATAAAACGAAACACTACTCTCTTAGGTAGATAAACGACTCTCTTGGACCAAATAGTTAAAAAAAAGACTCAATTTACTCGAACAGTACGCTTAGTAAATCCAGTTGATTCGACAACGCCGCTCGGCAGCAACCTACGAAATACGTGTGCATACCATTTAAACGTTAAAATCGCCAAGGGCCCTCGACCCAAGCCCGAACCCGAACCCATCGACCATCAGCATATGCTCGTCGGTAAAGGTCCATCCGGCGACAGTGCGGTGCAGCGCGTTTTCCAACGAGCCACACACACACACGTTCTTCTGCCGGACACGCGGTCGGATGTAACAGAAATCCCATTCAATTCCACCGGTCCTACCTACCAGGGACGAAGAACTTGCGGGGCACTTGCGGCGCTCAACGCAACCCGTGCATCGGCATTCGGTGTCGCGAAGCGCTCGGTTTTACCATGACTGGGATTCGGTCCGTCGTGTCGACGGAAATTGCGAAAATCCGGGCGACGAGGCAACGTCGCGGAAAATTTTCGGTGCGATTAGTTGATTAATTTTCGGTGTTTTTGGTTCGATTGGTGACCTTTCATATTCGCGTGTGTGGATTAATAGTACCGAATATGGAGGCTGTTAGAGATGGGATTGTGTTGATAAAATGTAAGTTTCGCACCAATTTTGGATGTAGTTGTTAAAGCGTAACGTTATTTTGTAATAAAAACAGATGTTTTTAAATTGGATACCGACGAAAGAGATGGCATGAAAACAGTAGGAGCTCATTCATGGATAATGTTTCGTAGTTATAATAATCTTTTGTTTCGAAATAATAGCGGCGGTATTATTATCAATTATTTCGTTGGAATTTTAACGGTTCGTTGACACTTTTAATGACTGTTGAACATTTTTACTGATTTTTTTAATCAATTTTGTTGGGCAAGTTTTGCATTAAACTTTCTAAATACGTTGATTTTCGTACGTTTCGAAGATTTTCCGCAAATTAAATTTCAATTCGAAATGTTGAAACATCCACCAATCATTCAACGTTTCCAAAGGATACCTCAAATTTTCGAGAATCGAAAATATACCACGAATTCAATATGGAATCAGAAATATTAAATAAATTCAAAGGAGTACAACGAAGTTAATTTTCATGTAACTGGCGACCGTAGCGTTTGTTTTGACAGAGGTCTGAGATAACAAATTCCCATCAGCCATTTGTATTCTTTCTGAAAATAGCTCTAGTTCGCGCGTTCACTAACATTCTATCTATATCCTAATTCTGCGCTAAATATACGCGGAAAATCAGTGCCGTTTTACACCGATTCAGATAAATTATTCCACTAAAAATTCACCCAAAATTGACAATAAAAGAGTGCGAAAGCATAGATAATTTTTCCAAGGAACTTCCTGGTTTATAGAACATTTTCGAAGGGATTTTACGATGGCTCTTTTATAAATATTTCGTTAGTTTTTGAAGATTCTTAAGGGTCCGTCCCTGCAGGTAGTCGTAAATAGATTTAAACGTGCATATACGCACACGTGTATCGGATGAAATGGCAATTTGAAGCAGAGCTTGCATACAAAATAACCAAACTTAAGTATTATCTTCAAATTATACAGACAAGTTTCCTTTGTAGTTGAAAAAAGATCAATTTACGATTTAATTATAACGTAATTATAGTGTTTTTACAACATTATAAACCTTATCAAATTAAATTGTGTTTATTTATGGTATTGCTAATTCATATTTCTGAGATTTCTCTTACTTTTGTCGGTGTCATTATCTGGAGCGGGTGATTAATAGACAGTGTCATAAACAGGATATAAAATCCTGTAATTTCCATTTTTTAATGCGGAAATACAAAGAAATCGTTGTGACAATAAGTTCACGTGTAGAAACTCAAAAATGTATAACAAATGGGTGGAAATTTCTCGTTAAATCCAATTGGGTGATTAATATATCAGAGGATTTGCCAGTCCGCGCGAATTTTCATTCTGGCAAGTTTATTATCAATAAAATGTCACACACCTGGATTCGATCAACTTTTACATCTATTTAGGCGTATTTTTAGCGCATGACCAGCCCGCAAAGCGATCGTAAAAACCGGAATTCTACAAAATAGGTTCAAGGATGAAAGAACTAGATTTTCTAAGGAAAGCTCCGACTGAGGTGAAATGATAGAAAAAAAACCCGTTCCAGAAATTAATATGTAACATCATTTAACGGTTGTTTCGAAATTTAACGCGAATTTATATGGGAAAATAACGGTGATAGGAGTTTTTAATTTAACGCAAAAATTGCTCGAGATGAATCTGCTAAATATTTCGTTTTGTTTGTTGCAGGTAAGTGTACGTTTATTGAATAATTTCGGTAAGTTCTTCGATAACATTCGGGGATATTTTTAACCAAAAGTTTTCCACGTAATTCAGCGATTTTCGTCAACATGTCAGTCTTCCCGAAAAAAACTCTTCCATTATTATGCAAATATCCCCCAAGCTTCCGAAATTAAATCCGCAGAGATTAAATTTTCGGGTTACTGGGCGATGTTTACCCCAACTTTTTTTCCTTGTTTACACTAATTAAATCGCGAAATTCGCAAACATATCGAAGTAATTAAATCACTTCTATTATTATTCCAGTGAATGAATACACTCGATTTTTAATACCTGCTCAATGAGCATAAAAAAAACGCTGAAAACCTATAAAATCCCCGGGCACCGAACACTATCATTCATGATTAAATTTACGCTTCGTATACTCGATTCGCCTTTAAATGAACTGTTATAGTTATTCAAAATAATACACTGTTACTTCGGAACGTTTCGAAACAATCCCTCCCACCTCTAGCATCGACATAGGCGGCTTTAATTTTCTCATCCACCGTGTCGTACACGTTCTATCGAAGGATTTATCGGTAAACTCGTGCTCTATCTCGACGACACGTTCGATTAGATCGCTCGCGAAAACAGTACCGAACAATTAATATCGGATAAATAAACCAATTGAAACGGCCGGTTCGGTCTATTGACCCAAATATTTCCTGGCACCGGCGACTAATATTTTCGATGACAGATAAAAATCGTCGAGCGGTAATAATTGTCGAAAGTAAATCAACGGCGATTCGATTTATTTGGGTCGGGTGACTTGCGAAACGGGCGTCCCGACGCGTTTTTTACGGCGAACGAAATCGAGGTAGCCGGGGAATAGGGAATTGCGGAGCTATAAATTTTGGAAAAGTGTTAATCATGTTAAATGTATTATTTTTGGCGACACCCTGTGAAAGTTATACTCCGTTCGCTATCGGGAGATAAAAATATAACATGAAGTATACAAAGTGGCACTATACTGAAATAAAACGAGATGAAAGTCATAAATTTGTGGAATTTTCCATTTTTTTTACTCGTACTGTCTTTTGCATACAAAATTAGATTTTATTATTCTCTCCTGAAGGCGAACGGAGTATATTCAGAATGAGTTTGTCATTTGCCGTACTAACTACATCGTAAATCTCCTCTGACATTCTAACCTTTCGTGATTTCATGGAAGGCGATTTCAATTACTCCATTATTCTGCATATTATTCTCCGTTCGTGTTCGTATCGAAGCAGGCACTCGAAATATACAGGGTGGTTTAGTATTACTCAAAAAAAAAATCTACTGATAACCAAACATGGCTTCATTCATTCATTCATTCATTCAACCTCAAATGGCTTCATTATTTCGAACAGTTTTGTAACGAGCTCTTTTTTTTTCCCTACTCCTTCGCAACCAAACAACAGCTGTAACCGACATATGGATAACTCTAACGGTATTTTTAGGTTATCAATCCGATTGAAAATAACTTTCAAAATATGCATTATCCGAGAAAATACCACAACATTATACGCTTGAATCATATTGTTTATAATAAAACACAAATCACCGGGTTTCCGTAATCTAACTTAAACTTCCAAATAATATGATATCACCGTATTGACGCAAAATTAATAAATATATCGCACCAAAACAATCGCATATGGTGGATAAAAAATATACCAAGCGTGACGTCACGACCGATCTAACTTCCATCAACGAAGACGCGGCAACGCCGCGTAATATCATCGTTTTATTCGAGCGGAAACTCGATAGATCCGCGCGCTGTTATGTCGGGTGTAGGTAATTCGAAAAAACAATGGGCCCTCGGAGCACAAGGAGCCGATTCGAAGAGAGAAAAAAAAAAGAAATCGAGAAAAAAAAAACGTACCGTCGGCTGGTACCTGCGAACGAGTTGAAACGAACAGGTAGAACCGAACAAAGGACCTTTGAAATTATGGGTGGCGTTCCGGGCTCGGACCGAACGAGGAGGATTAATGGTTAATTGGACCAGGTGTAGACAGAACGAGGTGACAGGCTGTGATTAGTTTTCTATTATGTACAGAAAATCTGTTTTGTCGAAACCCAGGAACTCCGGAGCCAAAGTATAGTTGTATTAATTATCGGCGGTGAGTTAGGCGCAGAAATATATTTATTACCACACAGCATAAAAGAATAGCTCTACTCTAGAGTACTTTCAGAGTAGAGGAGATTCAGAGTAGGGTAGCTTTCGCCAAAATCTCTTTGCGCCTAACATACATCGGTTCTTAATTATATAGGGTGTGGAAACTTTTTTATTTTAGCGTTCTAAAAATCGTTTCGCAAAACAAATCGAAAGGTTAAAATTAAACCGGCCGCCATCGCAAAACGCAACAATAACATTAGCCCATAAATCTATCCTCTCGTAAATCTCGACACCGAAAGAAAGACAAAACGTCGTTGCCTTTCGGAGCAGTTTCTATTCTATTTCTCCTTCTCGGAACGTAATTTTTTACGATATTGCTTATAGGTATACCGAGTGTTATGTTCCTTGTCACCTCCGCTTAACCGGCGTAGGTAATAGGATCTTGTAGATGCAGACATTCGCGGAATTGCACGACGAAAAGTCACGTCTCTAATCCAAACAATAAACAATGCCCTGACCGTTGTCGTTGGGAATTGTTTTATGGATTCTGCGACGAAAAGACGCGCGTAAAATCCATATGGAATTACAACAAAAAAAAATAACACCACCTACCACGATTCAGCAGTTCACTCTTCTTCTACTGCTTGGTTTAATATTGCTAACAAATTTACATTTACCTGTACGAAGAGAACCTTGTTTAACGAATCTCGATTCACGCCCGGGAACCTTGAACTGGCTTTTTGTCTTACTCCTGCGACTCTCTTTTCCCGTCATTAAGACGACGCAATTATGTAAATAGCAATTCAACGGCAGCAGGCTCGATAAATCCGTGCGTTATGTCACGAGTAATTCGATTTCTGATCCTTTAAATATTCATCTTTCGGAAGTTTTTCGATCTAATAAAACGAACAAAGCGCGCCGTCTCCCGCGAAATTGGCGCGGTCCAATTCCATCCTCTTCCCATTCGAATATCCGAGGAGTTAATAATATTCGGTTTTGCATGCGGAAAAAAAACACGAAACGGCCCCATCGGATTGAGGAAGCGAGTTCTAAACCGAGCGTTGACCTTCTCGATTATCCGGATAGATTCGGCCGTTTATAATTTAGGAGATAAACAAAAAAATAGGAACTATCGGAGCTTTTTTAATCATGATTATACGCCGGGGAGCCGGAGGCAAAGTTC